ATGGACTGAACCCAGGTTGGCCACATGCAAGGCAAACGCTCTACCTGCTGTACTACCCAGCCCTCAATATATAACTTTAAACTGAGTAGGGAAGAATTAATGCAAAAAACATCAATCAATAAAATGCAAGGCAGGATCTCCCAACCCCGTGCCTGACACCCCAGAGGCGGACAGGTTGAGCTTCCCCTCCTGCCCCGAGCAGAACCCCGGCAGCTGAAAACCTCCAGAACCCAGCCACAGCCACGCTCAAGGACACTCTCCACAAGCTCAGACAAGCCTCACGCATGAAGGAACTGACAGAGGAACTCAGGTATGCGGGACCCAGGACTGAGATCTCCAAGCCTGCTCAGATGGGGACTGGGCCTCCTCCAGCCAGATCTCCAGTTTTCCAGTAGCTTGGCAGTCACACCCACAACCCCCCGCCCCACACCACCACCCCCACCGGCCATGTAATCTCATCAACGGCCAAGATCCAGAGACTATAAAATAAAGCTCCTCGAAGAGAGCGATGCAGTATTTCCTGGAGTGAGCCCACTGATGTACCTAAAGTAGCACACGTGTGTCTGGTTTTAACATACTTGCCTGTATTTTTGTACACGTGGCCTTAAATGGCCCCAGAATGAAATACAACAATCTTCACATACTTCCCCTCTTATTGTGGTGGAAAGATGCTCGCTGGTTGGGTGGGTGTTTGAATATTATCTGTAATGAACTAATGTGAACTACTTTATGAAAAAAAAATGTATAAAAATCATAAAAATAAAAACTAAAAGATAAATAAAATGCAAAAAAGGGAGGGGGGCTGCTAGGAATATGGCTCAAGTGATGGAATGTAATCCTTGAGTGCAGAAGAACTTGGGCTTTCTCCTCAGCTCTCCTGGCCCAGAAGCATAGCCCCCAAAACTAAAATACATGGCATATATACAGAATGAAAAAAGAAAAAAACAAATATACGGAAAGGACTAATGTCACAAAATATGAGGGGAAAAAAAAAATTTTTATGTGTGCTTGCATATGCCAAGGTCTAAGTTTAAAAATGCTCCAGACTTGTTCTCCCAAGCGGGTGTTTGCGCCTGAACACTTATTTCTTTCTCTGCTTGCTTGCTCTTTCAAACCTTTGTTTTCTCTTGCACATATCTTCCTTTCCTTCTTCCTCTCAATAGAACCTTTTTGCTTCACAAAAAAAAAAAAAAAAGAAAGAAAAAAAAGACGAGAGAAGGGGGAAGCTCGAGATAATACATAACTAAAAAAATAAATTTAGCTAAATGCTATTTATGAGGTAACTAAAATTTATTGAAGAAAAAGGTTAAAGATAAAGGATGAATCACTATTTACCAGGTGCACTCCTTTCCTAGGGCTTTTATAACAGTATGAGAAATCCTTATTTGTCTCTGATGTTTTACCCTTAATAGGTGGACAGCTCTCTCTCTCTCCCTCCCTCTCTCTCTTTCTCTCTCTCTCTCTCTCTCTCCCCCTCTCTATCCCTTCTTCCCTGCTTCTCTCCCTCCTTCTCTCCCTCTCTCTCTCTTCCTCCCTCCGTCACTCCCTTCCACTCCCCCATAACCTACTCTAAGAACAACAGTCATATTGGAATGTCTCCTCTATCCAAGCAGAACTTAACTTACACTTTTGTTTTGGTATAATCTTCACTTTATTCACACGGACAGGATAGGATCTGTCACAATGACGTTTATCTGACTCTGCCTCACCTTTCAAACCATTATTGGGTAGAGACGGAGGGTCTCCCAACAGCATTCAGGAGGCCCAATGGGGCAGCAGTTCAATGCGAGGGCTTGAGGATGCAGTGCTGCGCATGTCCTGTGATGCTGAATTACCCTAGCCACCTCAGCAGTACTAGGCGCCTCCAGGGCCACAACCTGCAAAGACTCGACTACTATCTCGACCAGGGTTGGCATCAGGGTCGGCTGCATGCAAGCCATGCTCCTTAACTCCTATACTAATAAATAACTCCTATACTTATTTATTTTTTTGTTCCCTAACAACATAGTTTACACACAGATGATCTTCAATAAATTTTTACCGAATAGTGATAAATCTGTTTAAATAATGCTACTTACTATGCAAATACACTAAAAATAAATGGAAAGCAAATAGGGCCGTTAATTTTTTTTCTTTTTCATAAATTAAATTCTGAAAAAGATGAATAAAGGTCTTTGTTTCTGGTTAATGAATTCATGCAATTTACAGTTAATTTATTCTAAACTCCCTTGAGATCACTGAATATGGTCCATACACTGTACAATAAGCTATATTCAAATGCTCAAGAAAGAAATTTTTAAATATAAATACTGCATATTTTATCTCTATCTATGAGAGTTATTATGAAACATTACCCAAAAGAGGAACTTTAATATTTGAAGAACTCATCAAATTGCATAATGCTCAGCAAAAATATCCTTAATTCAAATATGCTTAATTCAAATATATACCTTAGACTGTCAATTTCATATAATTAAATAAAAATAAATTTTCAAATGTCACATACCTAGACTTCCTTTGATAACTTGAGAACATATACTGTAACCTGCAATGCACTGTCATATGTCAATATGAAGACGAAATATCTTTGAGCTATAGATATATGAAACTTCCAGTTGACACAGTTTCTAATTAAAACAATATAAGGTAATAATTTATTGCCATTAAATATATAGTACTAACACTAACAATGCTAGTAAAAATTATGGCATATTAATCAAAGGCTTGTATTGCAATTACACATTGAAATGCATTTCTTACAACTAAGTATAATTTTTAAAAATCACAAATAAAAGACAGTAAGATAACTAACAATAAAGTAAAATCAAGATAATAAAAAACAACCATTACTACCATTACATATGAGTTTTGGAAAAATTTTGTCTGATAATTGTTCCTACTAACCCACTATTCAACATTTCACTTGAAAGCCTAGTTTACTAAACTATTTTCTGATATACACAAAGAACAAAATTAGGTATTTCCATACCCTCCCCCAATACTCTCCCCTGAGATTCAAAGCTTAATATGAGTTTCTATTTTCCAGAGATAAAAGGACTGTATTAACAATGATGTGCCCTAGCTTTCTTCTTTTTACAATAAATTACCATATTTATATTTTGAAGCTGTCAAATGCTAGAGGATATTAAATACCCTCTCATCATAATTAACTCTTTAAACTAAAGGCTTGGTTCAAAACAAACTGTGAAAGTTAAAAGAATATAATTCTATTAATGTCTATTTTTAATTATTTTTAAAAAGCTATTAATTTATTGAAAAACTGATTTGAATTCAAATTGCACAATCACTAGAAAGCTCAAATCTTTCTTCCTTTGCCTTCCACTGTAATAAATAAACAAGAATTTGAATTGGGGGCATTTCAAAGTAACTTCATAAATACTTCAAGCCAACTACAAATATGAAAGCTATAAGAACTACTAATTTCTATAATCAATAATCATATAAAATATGCCACTGAATTAAAAATCAGTATTTTTTTACAAAGACTCAATTATATTATTATAAACACAATTATTCCTTCACTAAGCTAATGTAATGCCAAAAAATTAACTCTCCATTAAATATACAAATTTTAAAATTTTAGATCAGGACATATTCTGCATTGGTTAGAGAAAAATCTAAGGATTATTATAATCTAAAGACATTACAAATATTCTGAAGTCCCAAAAAGTATTCATATACTGAAGAAAAAATATTTTAGAAAAATGGAATAAAATTGATATTTCAGATTCACTTTAAGATTTCAATAAAAATATGAATCAGTGACAGCTGTTCATATTTAGGGCCAAAAATATCTTTGAAAAACATAAGGGTGATTATAAAGAGAAATTAATACAAAACAGAAGTATCTTTTTTGAAATACGTTTCGGGTTCTTAGAGTAGAGGCCAAGAAATGAACTCACTGGGCCACATTCTGAGAAATCTCCAAACTGTTTTTTCTGTAGCAGCTGAAGCAGATGACATTCCTACCTACAGTGGATAAGGATTTTCTTTCCCCACATCCCTGCCAGCAGTGGCTGATTCCAGTCTTTTTTAATATACGCCACTCTCACTAATATGAGGTGTTATCATGTTGTTGCCTTCCCTGATGATAAGGATAAAGAACATTTTTTCATATGTCTAATGGCCACATGTATGTCTTCTTTGAGAAATGGCTGTTCGCCTCTCTCCCCATTTATTGATGAGGTTATTTCCACATTGCTAAGTTTTGAGAGAGCTTAAAATGTCCACGTGCTTTTCTACATGCAAAAATCAAGGCTGAACAGAGAAAAAAATTTTTTAAATACCATTCACAATTGCACCTCAAAATTCAAATACCTGGGAACCAATTTAAGGAGGGGAAAGACTTACACAAACTATTAATCACTGCTAAAAGAAATAGAAGACATGAAGAAATGGAAACACATTCCCAGTCTATGGATTGGAAAAATTAACAATGCTAAAATGAACGTCCTAACTAAAGTACTATACAAATTCGATAAAAATAACAACAGCATTTTTTAGGGGCATGGACCAAATACTGCTAAATGTATATGGAATGCATGTTCTTAACCTCTATATACTCTGCCATTGTGATTTTAAGATATTTGTTATTTAAAAAAATTCTATATTTAAAAGTTGCATGATGCTGCTATGTCCTTGCTCTTCAGGAATGAAAAATTCTATGATTACACAAAAAAAGCTGCATATGCATTTTATTTCAGCTTAGTTTCTGGGCGACAACTAGCAGTGCTCAAGGGCTAGTCCAAATAGTGCTTAGGGAAGCAAATATTAGGTTTTAAGAAGAAAGTTAAGTTTAAAGTAACACTGCAAAATGCTAGCAATCATAGATGAAAATAGTAATCTGTGAAAAATTCGATATAGAGATATATATGTAGAGTACAATATAAACTAAGAAATGTATAGAACAACCTATAAACTGTGAAGCAGAACAGTATTATTTTACACAAAAATGGTGAGGGAACAATGTACATACATACCCTTCTCCTCCCATTCTTGTTATCTTTAGGCGAAAATCCACAGAATTCAGACTTGGAGGTTTCCACTTTAATATGTCATCACATCGACCAGGTTTATATTTCTAAAGTGAATTAAAATAGTAAAGGTTAGTAAGAAGCGAAAAGTTAAGTTCCTATTGAATAAACATAGATCATTTTACTAAGTAACACCAACACAATTTTTATACAAATACTGTTATCTTAAAAGATCAGTGAAGATACCTATTGTCATCTCCTCTACCTCAGTATCACTCTGGTGCTAGAGGCAAGCACTCGACCACTAAGCCACATCCCCAGCCCAATATCTAACTTTCTATTGATATTTCTTTTTTTCCCCCAAAGCATAGAGACATTTATTTGTATGAATTCTCAAAATGCATCACACACACACACACACACACACACACACACACACACACACATATTTTATTTTGGCAATCTTCTCTAAGCAAAACAATTTGATAATATTTTAAATTATTTTTTGGGGACTGGAGCAATAGTAGAACAGGTCGGGCACTTGCCTTGCTACACAGTCAACCCAGGTTCAATCTCTGACATCCCATATGGTCCCCTGAGCACCATTCAGAGTAATTCCTGAGTGCAGAGGTAGCAATAACCCCGAAGCATCACTGAGGTCCAAAACCAAAAAAAAAAAAAAAAAAAAAAAAAAGGTCTATTTTTTCTTGTTCCACTCTATGACAGAGAAATTTACAATGAAAAAATAAATAAATGAAAAATTTTCCAAATACAGCCATCATCAAAAATCTTAAATTAGCAAGACCTCAAAGGTTTCTCCTTACATTTACAGTTACCTTTATTATCATTATCACTGTGGTTTTTCTATAATTCAAAGAAATTCTAGGCAGGACTGAAGAGAAAGTACAGCAAGTAAGGTTCTTGCGGTGCACGCTCAAGAGTAACCCCTGGCAGTGTTCAGGGGACCAGGTGACGCCAGGAGACCCAAACACTATGCAAGACAAGCACTTTAATCCCTGGAACTATCTTGTCAGCCCCATCAACAGGTGAAGAATTTTTAAGTAAAATCATGTATTATCTATCCTTATTAATAAAATTAACTGGGGACATTGGTGGAGGTAAGTCGGCACTGATGAAGGAATAGGTGTTCAAACATTGCAGGACTGAACTCAATCATGAACAACTTTGTAACTTTGTGTCCTATGGTGATTCAATAATTTTAAGTTATGTACTATGAGGTTTTGATATGTGGAGATTGTGAAATAACAAAATAAATCTCTCATATCGTGGTAAACCATTTAAGATATACTATCTTAGAATTTTCAAGTACGTAACACATTACTTGTCAACATGCTCTACCTAAGTTTCCAGAACTTACTTATAACTGAAATATTTTATCCTTTGATTAATATTTCTTTCCTATGGGCAAAGAGAAATACTACGAGATAGTACAGAGGGTAAGGTGCTTTCCTTACATAAGGCCAAGTAGGCTTTAATCCCTGGCATCCCATATAATCCCTCAAGCACCACCCAGTGATTCCTGAGCACAGAACCAGGAGTAAGCCCTGAGCATCATTGGGTGTGACACACCACCCATTTTTCCTGACAACTAAGAGTTGCTATAACCAACATTCTACTCTCTGTTGGGATAAATTCAAGCTTTTCTTGTTTCTTAAAGATCCCTTATATATGTGAGATCATGCAATATAATTTTTCTATGCCTAAGACATTTTTTATTTAGCACAATGTCTTGAAGGTTCGATTTCTTTCTTCTTTAAGGCTGAGTGATATTCTACTGCACAAGTGTTTCACATCTCCATACAGTAGCTTTCTCACTGATCACTTAGAAATTTCTATTTTTATTGATCAGTTGCAGTTATAATATGCCTTTCCTCTGGCTAACAACACTTTATTACTGAGCTTAACAAATTTGCAAAACAGGAGAGGTAATCTGGATTCGCAAACTTTGCGCTTTTCCCAAATACTCTTAGCTAGTGTAGCATTTGTATCTCCATTAAAATAAATTAGTTTGCCAATTTCCATGAAAATAGACACTGGGATTTTTGTTGTTGTTGTTGTTGTTATTGGGGTTTTTTTTTGCTTTTTGGGTCACACCCTGTGATGCACAAAGATTACTCCTGGCTCTGCCCTCAGTAATTACTCCCAGTGCCAGGGGAACCATATGGGCTTCTGGAAATCGATCCGGGATCAGCCGCATGCAAGACAAACACCCTACCCACTGTCCTATCATTCCAGCCCCAGGATTTTTTTTTTAAGTGTAAAGGATTTTACATTATGGGTAACAAGCAAAAGTACCTGTCAATAATTATTTAGTTAAGTCATTTCAAATTAGGGCTCCTTGCCCTTTCTATACATCACTTCACTTCTTCCAAAGTTTCGGGTCTTAATCTGCAAACTGATCCTAAAAACTAGAGGGACACTGACTTAAATTTTCCTGCATCACCATTTGTGGATTTGAAAGAACTGTAGTTCCTCAAGGGAAAAAAGCGCTAAGTGACCAATGCATCTGAGGAAACAATGACCTTTGGTCACATTGTTAACAGATCCTGACTTCAGTCCCCAAAATCCTGTATGAAAATGACCAAAGTTACTGAGATTTTAATTAGGCATCAGGGAAGAAAGGAGATTCTGACAATATTAACTCTTCCAATTCATGATCACTGCAAATTTATCTAGGTTTTATCATTTCTCTCTGGAATTTTCAATACATGAGTTCTGTAGAACTTTTGTCAAATTTACTAATCCTACTGACACCCAAAAAAGTAAGTTATGTCCCTATATGCCGTTAATAAATAATCCAAAAAAGAAACATGAAAAAGCAATTCTATTTAAAGACTATCTCAAAGAACAAAATACCTAGGAATACACTTGGCGAAGGAACTGGATGATAGGTATAATGAAAACTGCAAAAATAAAAGAAGTTAAGGGTGACATAAAAATAGAAAGATATCCCATGTTCATAGATAGGATGTTTTATTACCATCTTTAATATTCCTGACAACCTACAGATTCAATGCAATTCCTATCAAAATTGTAACTGTCACTTTTACAGAAACAGAAAAGTCACTATTCATATTCATATAGTCCTGCAAGAGGCCCCAAATAGCAAAAATGATCTGAAAAGAGAACAATAAAGGTGGAAGATTGCACATTCCAATTTTAAAACTTACTACAAAACAACATAATCCAAAACAGTGGCCTGAGCCGGAACATTAGTACAGTGGAGAAGGAGCTTGCAAGCAGGTCAGCAGGTCAGCAGGTCAGCAGGCAGCCGACCCTGCTTCAATCCCCACCATACAAAATGTTCCTCGAACACTGCCAGGAATGATCACTGAGAGCAGAGAAGTAATCTCTACGCACAATCGGGGGTGGCTGCCACCCCCAGCTCCCTCCTGGAAAAAAAAAAGTGGTCTGATCTAAGGACAGATATCAAGACCATGGGTTAAAACAGAGAAAACAGAAGAAAAAGTCAATAAACAACTGATTTGTTTTTGTCCCAAGTCTATTCAATGATGAAAGAATAATCTCTTAAATGATACAAGGACTAACTAGATTTGCACATGTAAAATGGAAAAACCGGATTGCTACTGCCAGCCATGTACAAAAACTAAATAATGTGTCTTCAGTTACTACTCCTGGCTCTTTGCTTAAGAATGACCCTTGTCTGTGCTTGAAGGACCATACGTGCTTCCAGGGAATCAAGCTAAGGTCAGTGGGATACAAGGCAAGTACTGGAATCCCTGAACTATCTACTGGCCCCTACAAGGGTAAATTTTTAGAATCTGAAATTTTAAATTTCAAATTCAAAATATTGAACTTGATGAATTCTTACCAACAGCACAAGCAAGAAAATATGGACTGGACTTCATCAAATTTAGAAATTTTGCTCATCAGAAGACATTATGAGAGAAAATATATATAATCTCTGTAACGTAATAGCGTGCATATTGTAAGTCTCCAAGAAAGAGGCTTACAATGTTCACACACGCAGATTTGCAATAAATATGAGCAAAACAATGGAGCAGAAAAATACAGACACTACCAAAAGAAAGACAAGTATACAGATTCAGTAAAGTCAATGGGGCAGAGATGACCTAGAATAAAATATCCAGGAAGGGAAAAATGCTATGTGCTATGATTACTAATACTGGGGAGAAGGGTCACATTAGCTGTGCTCTGAGCTTACTCTGGGTTCTGCTCTCAGGAATCACTCCTGGTGGGCTAGAAAACCAGATGGCACGCTGGGTTCAAACCCAGGTTGGTGGCATGCAAGGCGACTGGACTATCTTTCATGCCCTGTTACTAATATATTTTTTTCAAAAATTTTTATATTTTGGGCTGGAGCGATAGCACAGCGGGTAGGGCGTTCGCCTTACAAGCAGCCAACATGGCCGACCCGAGTTCGATTCCTCCGCCCCTCTCGGAGAGCCCGGCAAGCTACCGAGAGTATTCGATATGCCAGACACAGTAACAACAAAGTCTCCAATGGAGACGTTACTGGGCCCGCTCGAGCAAATCGACGATCAACGGGAGGGCCTTTACCTTTACCTTTACCTTTGTTTGTATTATTTCCTATTATACCCAGACTTTGGGCTGGAGCAATAGCACAACAGTAAGGCATTTGCCTTGCATGCAGCCAGCCCGGCCTAGCCGGGTTTGATTCCTCTGCCCCTCTGGGAAAGCCCAGCAAACTACCAAGAGTATCTCGCCGGCACGGCAGAGCCTGGCAAGCTACCCGTGATATATTCGATATGCCAGACACAGTAACAACAAAGTCTCCAATGGAGACATTACTGGGCCCGCTCGAGCAAATCGACGATCAACGGGAGGGCCTTTACCTTTACCTTTATTTTTGTCTACTCCAATATCTATCCCTTCACCAATGTACATTTCCTACCACCAATGTCCCCAGTTTCTTTCCTGCCCCCATTCCTCATTTGCCCCTCCCTCTCTCCCTCCTTCTCTCTCTCTCTCTCCTCTCTCTCTCTCTCTCTCTCTCTCTCTTTAATGTAGGAGTACTGCTATTTATTCAGTCACTGATTAGCTGATTGAATTGGGCATGAACTCCACCTTACTTTTTTTTCTC